GTAGAGACAGGGTTTCACCATGTTGACCAGGATGGTCTTGATCTCTTGACCTCGTGATCCACCCGCCTCGGCCTCCCAAAGTGCTGGGATTACAGGCTTGAGCCACCGCGCCCGGCTATATGTACTTTTCAATCATCCCCACTTCCCCCAACCCCCACTCCCTCCCTACTCTTCCCAGCCTCCAGCAACCATCCATCTACTCTCTATCTCCATGAGTTCAGTTGTTCTGATTTTTAGTTCCCACATATAAGTGAGAACATATAAAATTTGTCTTTCTGTGCCTGGCTTATTTCACTTAATATAATGACATCCAGTTCCATCCATGTTGTTGCAAATGACAGGATCTCATTCTTTCTCATGGCTGAATAGTACTTCATGGTATATATGAACCACATTTTCTTGATCCATTCACCTGTTGATAGACACTTTGATTGGTTCCACATCTTGGCTATTGTGAACAGTGCTGCAAGGAACACGGGAGTGCAGATAACACTTCAGCATACTGACTTCCTTTCTTTTGGTTATATGCCCAGCAGTAGGAATACTGGATCATATGATAGCTCTATTTTTAGGTATTTGAGGAGCCTCTAAACTGTTCTCCATAGTTGTTATAATTTACATTTCCACCAACAGTGTATGAGGGCTCCCCTTTCTCCACATCCTGCCAGCATTTGTTATTGCCTGTCTTTTGGATAAAAGCCATTTTAACTGGGGTGAGATAATACCTCTTTGTAGTTTTTATTTGCATTTCTCTGCTGATCAGTGATGTTGTGCACCTTTTCATATGCTTGTTTGACATTTGTATGTCATCTTTTGAGAGATATCTACTCAGGTCTTTTGCCCATTTTAAAAATCGGATTATTCAAATATTTCCTATAGTATTGTTTGAGTTCCTTATATATTCTGGTTATTAATCCCTTGTCACAGGGTTAAGTTTGCAAATATTCTCTCCCATTCTGGGGGTTGTTGCTTCACTTTGTGGATGATTTTCTTTGCTGTGTGAAGCTTTTTAACTTGATGTGATCCCATTTGTACATTTTTGCTTTGGTTACCTGTGCTTGTGGGATATTACTCAAGAAATTTTTGCCCAGACCAACGTCCCGGAGCATTTCCCCAATGTTTTCTTGCAGAAGTTTCATGGTTTGAGGTCTTGGATTTCAGTCTTTAATCCACTTTGATTTTTTGTTTGTTTGTTTGTATATGGCAAGAGACAGGGGTCTAGTTACAGTCTTCTGCATATGGTTATACAGTTTTCCCAGCACCATTTATTGAAGAGGGTATCTTTTCCCCAGTGTGTGTTCTTGGCACCTTTGTCAAAAATGAGTTCACTGTAGGTGTGTGGATTTGTTTCTGGGTTCTCTATTCTGCTCCATTGGACTATGTGTCTGCTTTTATGCCAGGACTATGCTGTTTTGGTTACCATACCTATGTAGCACAATTTGAAGTCAGATAATCGGATGCCTCCAGTTTTGTTCCTTTTTGCTCAGGATAGCTTTGGCTATTCTGGGTTGTTTGTGTTCCCATATATATTTTACGGAAATTTTATGGATAGTTTATATGTGGTTCCTTACAAATTTTATGGATGGTTTTCTCTGTTTCTGTGAAGAATTTCATTGGTATTTTAACAGGGATTGCATTGAATCTGTAGATTTCTTTGGTTTTTAATGAACATTTTAACAATATTGATTATTCCAATCAATAACATGGAATATTTTTGTGTGTCTTCTTCAGTGAAATTTTTGTATCTTTCTTTTTTTGTGTGTCCTCTTCAATTTCTTTCATCAGTGTTTTATAGTTACGATTGTAGAAATCTTTCACTTCTTTGGTTAATTCCTAGGTGTTTACTTTTACGTGGGGCTTTTGTAAATGGGATTGCTTTTTAAATTTCTTTTTCAGATTGTTCACTGTTGGTATATAAAAATGCTACTGATTGGCTGGGTGCAGTAGCTCATGACTGTAATCCCAGACTTTGGAAGGCCGAGGTGGGCGGATCACCTGAGTTTAGGAGTTCAAGACCAGCCTGACAACATGGAGAAACCCTGTCTCTACTAAAAATACAAAATTAGCTGAGCATGGTGGCACATACCTATAATCCCAGCTACTTGGGAGACTGAGGCAGGAGAATCGCTTGAACCTGGGAGGCGGAGGTCGTAGTGAGCTGAGATCGCATCATTGCCCTCCAGCCTGGACAAAAAGAGCAAAACTGTGTCTCAAAAAACAAAAAAAAAAGTGCTACTGATTTCTTTATGTTGATTTTGTATCCTGCAGTTTTACTGAAAGATACTGAAGTTGGTCAGTTCAGTTTACTGAAGTTTTTTGGTGAAAAACACAACATATAATGGAAACACAACATACCCAAACCTATGGGATATGGCAAAAGCAGTACTAAGAGGGAAATTTATAGCCATAAATGCCTACATCAAAATAGAAGAGAAACTTAAACAACCTAATGATGCATCTTAAAGAACTAGAAAAGCGGAAGCAAATAAAGCCCAAAAATAGTAGAAGAAAAGAAATGAAGATCAGAGCAGAAGTAAATAAAATTGAAATGAAGAAAATGATACAAAAGATAAATGAAATTAAAAGGTATATTTTTCCAAATATGAGATCATATCATCTGCAAACAAGGATAACTTGACTTACTTCTTTCCAGTTTGGATGCCCCTTATTTCTTTATCTTGGCTGATTGCTCGTTAGGATATTTATTATCAGGTCGAATAACAGTGGTGAAAGTGGGCATCTTTGTTGTGTTCCAGATGTTAGAGGAAAGGCTTTCAGTCTTTTCCCATTCTCTATTACACTAGCTGTGAGTCTGTCATTATGTTGACATATGTTGAGGTCTGTTCCTTTTATACTCAGTTTTTTGAGGGTCTTTTTAACCATGAAACATTGTTAAATGTTATCAAATGCTTTCTCAGCATCAATTGAAATAAGCATATGGTTTTTGTCCTTTAGCCTGTTAATATGACATATCACATGGATTGATTTGTATTTGAACTGTACTTGTAATGCTGGGATAAATCCCAACTGGTCATACATGAATGATCTTTTAAATGTATTGATGAATTTAGTTTGTTAGTATTTTGTTGAGGATTTTTACATCAATATTCATCAGAGA